ATGTACTGCCTTTTTTCTTTAATGTAGTGCACTGTATCATTAAGGATGTTGAATCATTTTGACAGACATATTTCTTTTTTTTCTTATTTGTTCCACCTTTTGCAAATACAGCAGTTTTCCCCAGATTTTGAACTATAACTTGCATTCACGACCCGATACCAGATCTTTCCTAGGTTTTTCAGTATACAGATGTGGATAGTAAACTGCACATTGCTAGAAAACAAAGATCGTTAAAAACGTTAATACAAATAGACAGGAAATACTAAAAAAAAATAAAAAAACATTGATTAATTTTTTTATCATCTTCTAACCGAGTCCCTGTGATGAGTTTGGGTAAGTGTGTCATCCTGACCGTGCAGATTAAATGATATATACCGATTTGATTGGTCAATAACTGTGTTAACACATGACGCCATCAATTTACATGAACGTTTTGGAAATATTCAGACGATATTCAATCTACGGCTACTGGGAAAGTTTTCTTGTAGGTTATACGTAAAGAAAGGGGGAAATACGCATTTAAGAAGTAAAAGTTTGGTAACTTTTTAATCACTTTAAATTTTTTTGATATTCAGGTTTTCTTCTTAATAATGTTACAGTATTTATAGAATTTCGTTTTAATGGCAGGCATATCTTTGATTGTTTCTGTTAAATTTATTCACATTTTCTATTTAAATTTGTGACGAATAAATCAAATCAAATAAGTTTTCTTTTTAGTCGGCAAGTTAAATAACAATACAACATAAGCTCTGAGTGAGCTTTTGAACCGACATAAACGATTTAGAACTTGAAATGTTGTTAAGACACATGTCTGTTGAACACTATATGTTGCCCTCTAGATGTGCGTAGGTGGTTTTTGTCGTTTGATTGCTGTCTTATTGGCGTATAACCCACATCTCCTACAGTTTTAGTTCCGTTTGATGTACGTTTAAATCGGTGTGTGACAAATCTTAAATGAAAGGGTTATATTGAGTATAGATTAATTGCATTGGTTTCCCTCAAGAATGTGCACAGAAGAAGATTCAAAGAGAGATGTACTTAAATTTAGAGTGCAAAGTAAATAAAAACAAAAAGCGTTTCACTTTTCAATCTTTAACTCCCCGAAGACATGTCCCATCTAAACGAAGTCTCGGATTGATCTCCGACTTACTTGTATATTGTTTTTGGTTTTGGCACATACTTGAATATGAACCTCATTCAATTCGATCCCAAAATAGTCACTTAAAACGAATTAATATTTAAAAAGTGATAATAAATTCTATTGGAACAAAACTAATCCAAATCAGTTTTCAGCTATTTGGATATTTTAAGAAATAACAAAAAAAAAAAATATTCTCCTTTGATTGGAAAATATATAATGTTTAATCCTGAAATCATCAAACTTTTTTTATGGAATTACGCCCTTATGCCTTTGAAAAATCCTGGATCCGCCCCTAAAGATAAGAGTATCCTTGAACTATGCAGTATATCTGAAGTAGTTAATGCACAACTTAGCTGTGCATTATCCAGATTATAACAAAGTAAGAACAAAGAGATTTTGCCTATGTCATGTGTTAATACATTTTACCAAGTTTGAAATGTCAAACTTTAAAGCTATAATTTTTGCTTTCGGTGAAAAATGTGATTGTGAATTATCGGACTTGGATTTTAAAAGTGCAGTATTTATTCCGAAATTTATGTCTTCTTTTTCTTCTTATAGTTCAGCAATCCATCAACATAATGATGATAACGTACCGGGCACTGCTGTCACTATGCCGCGCGTGCGTGGGATATAATTTCTATTTACAGTTCAATATATACAAATAACAGTTCAAAGTAATTTTCTTTTTCTTCAGTTTTGTACTTTTTATTTTGCATTGTATGTTTAATTTATATATGTAGGTGATTGTTGAGAACAGATATTGGGATCTGTACTCGAAAACAGTCAAGTGTAGTACATTTAACTGCAGCTACAGGTAGAAGGTTTCATTGTAATATTGTTCTTGGAAACAGTCAAGTGTAGTACATGTTACTGTAGCTACAGGTAGAAGGTTCCATTGTAATATTGTTCTCGGAAACAGTCAAGTGTAGCACATGTTACTGGAGCTACAGGTAGAAGGTTCCATTGTAATATTGTTCTCGGAAACAGTCAAGTGTAGTACATGTTACTGCAGCTATAGATAGAAGGTTCCATTGTTATATTGTTCTCGGAAACAGTCAATTGTAGTACATGTTACTACAGCTACAGGTAGAAGGCTCCATTGTAATATTGTCCTCGGAAACAGTCAAGTGTAGTACATGTTACTGCAGCTACAGGTAGAAGGTTCCATTGTTATATTGTTCTCGAAAAAAATGAGTATTTATACGAGTCTTAAGTGGTCTGTATTGCTCTGTAAAAAAGATTGTGTGAAGTTTGTCCTGTTCTTGTGTCGGATTGGATAAGAAGATCGGTTTGGTAAATATCTACAAGATGATGTATTATTTTATAGAAAAAAGATGATTCATGTTCTTATTCGCCTTTTCTCAAGAGTTGTCCAGTTTATAGTTTGTAACATTTCAGTGACGAAGCTGGTGTACGTTGTGGTATATGTTGGAAGTGTGCCTAGCTGTCCTGCGCTGGACCATTTCAAGTTGGTGTGTTTAAGATTTGGTATGTGGGTCCCAGACGCAGCTACTGTATTCTAGCTTAGGTCTAGCCAGTGATGTATATACTTTCTCGTTTACTGTTTTGAAGTTAACCTTTATATTTCTCTTGATGAAGTTAAGCTTTTGTGTGGCTGAAGCTGTAATATTATTAATATGTTTGTTAAATTTTAAGTCTGTTTGTATTGTTACCCCAAGGTATTTTGTGGATTTTTTTACAGTACTTGATGGTGGAGATTGAAGTCAAATTTAATTGGGTTTTTCTTATTTGTTATCAGAAGGACTGAGCACTTGTCTTCTGGGTAGAATGACATGAGCCAGTCCTTCTCCTATTTTGCTGCTAATGTCAGTTTGTTTTTTGCAGTTTTTGAGTGTCTTCTTTGTTTCGTATTGTTTTGTATATTATGCTGTTATCTGCAAATAGTCTTAGAGTGCTATATTTCATGTGTTTCTTTTGTTACCTATTCTGACATCGGAATCAGACTTCTTTTAAACTGAGTTTTACTGTGCGTATTGCTGTGTGTTTGTTTATTCTACATTTGCTAGAGGTATAGGGAGAGGGTTGAGATCTCACAAAACATGTTTAACCCCGCCGCATTTTTGCGCCTGTCCCAAGTCAGGAGTCTCTGGCCTTTGTTAGTCTTGTATGTTTTTTAATTCTAGTTCATTTATATGTTTTGGAGTTTGGTGAGACGTCCATTTTCATTGAACTAGTACACATTTGTTTAGGGGCCAACTGAAGCTCGCCTCCGGGAGCGGGCTTTTCTCGCGGTGTTGAAGACCCATTGGTGGTCTTCGGCTGTTTTCTGCTCTTTGGTCGGGTTGTTGTCTCTTTGACACATTCCCAGTTTCCATTCTCAATTTTATTCATTGAAGTCATTTATGTATACAAGAAACAGGAATAAGACAATATTTATAATTATGTCATTAAATCAGAAATGGACCTACATAAACTGTCAGTCGACTGCAACACCAATACCTGCATACCTATATCTCAATTCCTATAGATGCTATAGAAAGAATATGCAAAAATTTGGTCTATGCATTGCATATCAAGAGAGCTGAACCACTGTGGTAATTAAAAGAACTGTGTTCTAAGAAAACTAACATTAATCGACTAAATAGTCACCACAACTATACATCAGCGGTTGTGCTATCGGTCATGAGAATCGATGACATATTGGTTCTAACAAAACTAACATTAATCGACTAAATAGTCATCACAACTATACATCAGCGGTTGTACTATCGGTCATGCGAATCGATAACTACATATGTTTTATCACAACTTCTTTACTGGATTCTTAGTATGCGATGTATTTTATAGAATTAACTAAGTTAACTTTATATCCCCATGTTTCTTACATCTAGATAATAGGTAACTACCATTTTTAGACGTTGAGGACTTCTTAAGGTTAAATCTTGTATTTTAAAATCATTACAAACTCACTGATATTTAAAATTAAATTTGATACTATCAGTAGAATTTAAAAATGTTAGATTTTAATTCACTCAAATATGAGGGTTCCCACTCGATAAAAAGGCCCTATCCATTTACCATTTTGCCTTTATTTAACTAACATTTATAACTATATTAACAACTTGAAGGTAAATTAATTTAAAAAAACCCGCATACGTTTTTAATGCGGTTACCCTGCAAATAGGGTGGTCGTCCAATAGAAGAAGATAGGACCCAAAACTGTTCCTTGGGGAACGCTAGATGTTACATTAATTTTGTCTGATTGTACACCATTGATATTGACTGTTTGTGTGCAAAATGTGAGGAAATCTTCTATCCAATTTAAGGTATAGTATTCATTGCCATAGTATTTAAGTTTGGAAACAGGGACTTTCTATACTATTTTTTTTTATAGAAAGTCCCTGTTGGAAAGAAGTCAGAGGAACTTTGTCAAGTGCTTTGGCAAAGTCCATCACAACTGGGACTGTTAGTATAATAGTCCCAGATCACAATTATATCAGTTTGGATGTTATTGTTGTTGTTTTTGCAAGTTCTTGAATAAATGATACCAACTGAGTTTCACATGATTTTGATGCTCGGAATCCATGTTGAAGGTCGTATTATAAGATTTTGTTATTTTCCAAGTATTTATTAACATTTCTTTTTTTTTACGGGCAACCCAAATCTTATCAGTTTGTAGGCTAGTCTATTATCAACAAACTGATTATATAATTTCAAATATGCAATACAGTAGTTATTTCGATCATATAAAATTATTAAAATTGAATGATTTAGCGAACTAGAATATGTTGATTTGAAATTATGAAGGCAATATGAAAAATATGAAAAATATCTAAAAATTGGGTGCGAGTTGGTAAAAGTACGAGTTTGTAAAAATCGGGTACGAGTTGGCAAAGGTACGAGTTGAGATTTGCACAGAGGGAAATAACCTAAGCTCACCAACAGTGAAATTGAAAGTGAAAATCCTTTTTTGTCTACATGATGATGAGGATCACTGACTAACTTGTTTCGAAGCTTCATGTGGTAACGTTAGTTACATTTAATACTTTTCAAAAATTTAAAACTTATTATAATTTAGTTCGTTAAAAATCACTCAAAATGTCAGCTGACCCTCCCCACTCACTTTTCCAGGTAAACTAGTTAGTAATATTTAACTAAGTGAGGAAATTTAATTTCAAGTCGGCATATATGTACACAATAACCACGAAACATGTTTAACCGACTGTAATATAAAAATCATGCAGTTTCATGCATTCCCATCACAGGCACTTGTCTCTGAAAAAAATTCTTATATATTATACCTTACAACAAATACCTTTAATGTTATATTAAGGTATATAGGATTTTTATGCCCCTGCCGTAGCAGAGGGGGCATTAAGTTTTACCCTTGTCCGTCTGTATACGTACGTACGTACGTCCCAAAATTGGTTTCCGTTCTCTAACTTGAGTTTGCCTCAACCAAATGTTATGAAACTTATACACAATGCTTATTACCACAAAACACAGATCAAGTTTGAATTTTGGTGGCGTCACTTTAACCGTTCTAAAGTTATGCCCTTTTATAAATGGAAAAATTGCAAAATTTTGGTTTCTGTTCTCTTACTTAAGTTTGCCTCAACCAAATGTTATGAAACTTATACTCAATGCTTATTACCACAAAACACAGATCAAGTTTGAATTTGTATGGCATCACTTTAACCGTTCTAGAGTTATGCCCCTTTATAAATGGAAAAATTGCAAAATTTTTAGTTTCCCTTCTCTAACTTAAGTTTGCCTCAACCAAATGTTATGAAACTTATACAAAATGCTTATACACACAAAACACAGATCAAGTTTGAATTTTGGTGGCGTCACTTTAACCGTTCAAGAGTTATGTCCCTTTATAAATGGAAAAATTGCAAAATTTTAATTTTCTTCTAGATATCAAGTAATTTTTAAAATTGGAGTTATCTTCCTTTGTCCATGATTATAGTTGAATCAACTACAATCAATGCTTTTAAAATGCAATGTTTAATTTTGACTTCCACTGATAAAACACAGATCAAGTTGAATTTGGGTAGTGTCACTTTAACCAGTCAGAGATACAACTCTATAGGGTTATTACAGAAAATAACTTGTGTGTGTTATTACAGATACTTTCATGAGTTGTCTACTCTTTATTCCTTAAATTTTCTAAATCTGCAATAACATGTGTTTGTTATTTGTAAAATAAATCAAAAATATTTTAATTTATAATGGGCTCTAGGGAACTCTTGAGACTTTGTGCAGAAACTAAATGCATAGCCTTGATAATTAATTTTGATAATTAATTTTTTAATTAAATTAATACATTTTTGATTAACCATGGTAAATCAATGAGATGAGGCTTTTAAGGGATAAAATTAGCTGTAATAACATAGCTTAGTTATTAAAGGAATGTTACCTATTATATGAGACACTTGGGAATTACTGGGAAGCTTGCGCAGAACCTCATTACATGCTCTGGTCATTATTTCTTACAATGAATTAAAATACATTGTAATTAAGCATGATGTATGTCTGAGAAAATGCTTTGGAGTGATATAGAGAAGCTGTGATAACACCATTTAGTTATTACAGGCATATTTTTTTCTGTAATAACATATAGGTGTACTATGCAAAATTGGCAAACTATGAACTGTTATATCTTTCTATAGTTAAGTATACATAAAGACAATAGTAATATCAATAGAACTTGTATGCATTTTAACTAAACTAGTGATGTATATTGTCCCTTTGAAACATGTAACATACATATGTTATCACACTTCTTTGATTTTTTAGTGCACAATAACAAATGTATGTTATTTTTCTGTAATAACCCTATAGAGTTATATCCCTAACTGTTAACCATTACTGAGTTATGCCCCTTTATAAATCGAAAGATTGCAAAATTTTTAGTGTCCATTCTGTAACTTAAATTTGCCCCAACCAAACATTATGAAACCTATACACAATATTCATTACCACAAAACTAAGATCAAGTACAAATTTTTTGTTTCTGTTTTCTAACTTTAGTTTGCCTCAACCAAATGTTATGAAACTTATACACAATGCTTATTACTACATAATACAGATTAAGTACGAAATTTGGTGGCGACACTTTTACCATTCTTGAGTTATTAAAATTGGAGTTATCTTCTTTTGTCCATGATTATAGTTGAATCAACTACAATCAATGCTTTATACAATGCAATGTTTAATTTTGACTTCCACTGATAAAACACAGATCAAGTTGAATTTGGGTAGTGTCACTTTAACCATTATTGAGTTATGCCCCTTTATAAATCGAAAGATTGCAAAATTTTTAGTTTCCATTCTGTAACTTAAGTTTGCCCCAACCAAACATTATGAAACCTATACACAATATTCATTACCACAAAACTAAGATCAAGTACAAATTTTTTAGTCCCCTACTGACGAAGTCGAAGGGGACTTTAGGTTTGCACTCTGTCCGTCTGTCTGTCTGTCTGTCTGTCCTTCTGTCAGTCCGGCAAATCAGCTTTCCACACTTTTTTTCTTCGTTCTTGAAGATATTGATTTGATATTTAGTGTATAGTTTTATCATGACAAGTTATAGATCAAGTTCAAATTTTGTTCCGGTCTGATGATTTAATCCAGAGTTATGGAGCATAACTCTGGACCATATCTAATGTTAGAGTACTATGTTAAACCATATTTCTGTACAAAGGGAGATAACTAATTTTTTAAAAGACATTCTTTGTTTAATTATTTGAAGAATTTTTGGCAGGTTTGTTTGTTATTTAGTATAAACTAATTTTCTGAATGCTATATATATATAAATAAAAAATGTGAAGAGAAATCCTTTAATTAGATAATAATCTATTTTTATTATGTATATATTTCAATACATTACATTGTGTAGATAAAAGTTGTTGACATTTTATAGAAAAGTTACAAATCTATATTAGTTTGTGACAAATGAAAGAAAAAATATTTGGAACTATTAATTATATTTGATTATAATTTGAAAATAGATATACACTGTATTACATCATATCTAATTTTAGAGAACTATTATCATATTTAATGTTTTTTTCATCATGCTTATACGATATTGATTGATAATTGGTATATAGTTTTATCATGACATGCTACAGATCAAGTTCAAATTTTTGTTTCGGTCTAATAATTTTGTGCAGAGTTATGGTCCTTGGACTTGAAAAATTCACTCATATAATCAGTTTTCCACACTGTTTTTAGTCATGCTTGAAGATATTGACATGATATTTACTTTTTTGTTTACACCATGGCAAGTTATATAACAAGTTAGCATTTTGTTCCAGTATAATGAATTTTTATACGCCCGTCAAATTTTTGACAGGACCTATTATGGTATACAAATGTCCTCCGTCTGTCTGTCTGTCCGTCTGTCTGTCCGTCCGTCTGTCTGTCTGTCTGTCTGTCCGTCTGTCTGTCTGTCTGTCTGTCTGTCTGTCTGTCCGTCTGTCTGTCCGGCGTAAACATGTCGCACCGTAACTTGAGAATGACTTATCCAAATTTCATGAAACTTAACATAGTTGTTTCTTATGATGGTCAAACGATCTGTATACTTTTTGGTGAAAATAAGATTAAAACTTTTTGAGTTACGGGACTTAGTAACTAAAACAGGTGTGTGTTTTTTTTCACATGTCGCGCCGTATCTCAAAAACAATTTATGATTATTGCTTAAAACTTTACACACTTCTAAGTTATATTAATCTTAAGATCTGTATACTTTTTGGTGATGATTCAAAATTTTATTTTAGAGATATTGAGTATTTTGTTAAAAAAGGGGGAGGGGTTTTTCACATGTCGCGCCATATCTCAAAAACTGTTTATGATTATTGCTTAAAACTTTACACTCTTCTTAGTTATATTAACCTTAAGATCTGTATACTTTTTGGTGATGATTCAAATTTTATTTTTGAGTTATTGAGTATTTTGTAAAAAAAGGGGGAGGGGTTTTTCACATGTCGCGCCATATCTCAAAAACGATTTATGATTATTGCTTAAAATTTTACACACTTCTTAGTTATATTAATCTAAAGATCTGTATACCTTTTGGTTTTGATTCAAAATTTTATTTTTGAGATATTGATTTTTTTAAAGGCAGTGCTTTAATGCCTTTCTAGTTGCCGGGTTAATCCTTCCTTCCGCGATATCCAACTTATCTACGTGGGGGGTCATTAGACTCCAAGTAGATCCGGAAATGTTGAATTCTCTCCTCTTCTTATTGCGATATAAAATGTTTTTTGTTTCATTTCATTTACATTGGGAAATAGAGAAACGATCATTGTGTTTTGTTAGTTTTAAAAACTTTTGATATATTAGTATTTTGCATTATAAGCAGTCAACCGATTGACAAACTAGAATTATTTGAATTCCGTGTGGAAAGAGCTCGGGTTAATTTCGAGTGTTATCTGCAATCTAGATGTTTATAAATCATTTCAGTCGTTGATATAATAATTAAAGGTCGACTGAACATGAATTATATTATACAATTTAAAGCGCATTTCTGTTTATGCACGTGAACCCGTCTAACGTTATTTTCGCAGTTATTTAAAGTAGCAAATTATCGTTCCTGAATAGGTGGCGCCGTGGTAGCGGATCCTGTTCCTCTTCTTCCGGTTTCTGCACTGTGCAACTATTTCAGTTATATTTTTAATTAACGATGCCAAATACTTGTTGTTGTGTACCTGGATGTCATTTAAGAGGAGGACATGCATTTCCAAATGACTTAAAAAGAAGGAAAAGTTGGATCAACGCCATGGCCCATACGCAGATTGGACGAGAACACGATGATATCGTGGAGTCCATCTCAATCAGCTGTTGTTTGCAAGGCACGTTTTACTGAAAAAGACTACGTGCAGGAAACTATTCATGGTAAAACTCTATTTTCTTTGTGAAATATATAGTTATATATGTAATCGCCATGCGAATAAACCAAAGTCTGTTTACAACCGCAATTATCGTTTTAGAATAAAAGGGGGTGGGTAATTCAA